CATGTGCAGTAACCACAGTATCAGCTTCTGAAAGTTATATAACACCTAACGGAAAACCTGGAGGTTTATCACTGAATGACATCAACAGTTCTTCATTACAGTCACATGGTAGGTCAGGTCAAAATACTCCTGGCAGCTGTTTCTCAAAAGAAGCATCCTTGCAGCCTCATATCAGTTCACGTTTGACTTTCAGTGAAGAAGCACGAAAACACAGTACAGCCAAGATGTCTTCATGCTATGGTCAGGATTTTGCCAATTCATCATCTTTACCTCTCAGACGTAAGTCACAGCAAAGGATACAAGTTGATCAGCCTTCACAACAAACATTGCATTCAAATCCAGAAAAGGTGCAACAACCAATAATAGAATCTTCACAATGGTATCATCCATCATCATCATCCCAGTGTGATCGTCTTTTAGCCACATCAAAACCGCTGCAAGAAAAGCAGTACTTATCATCACAGTTGCCTCATGTGTCGGATAAAAAACCTTACCCAGTGCCATCTCCGAGACACCATCTAGTACGATCGTCTTCATCCTTGTTACCAGAAAGTGTTCCTCTTCATGTCAGATTAAAAGACACACAGAAGCCTCAAGAAAGGGAGACGTTGCATGTTGAACATCTACAAAGTATCTCACCCTGTGTACCACATTTAAATAGAGACTTTTCAAGAAGTATTTCCAGTGATGGGGCAGAAGGGATTAATGTGATTTCTAACGTTCATGCTAACAACCTATCTCAGCAGAGTCAGGGAGGTCCTATATTAAACCATAAGCCTAGCAGTATATTAAGAATTGCTAGAGAATATTTGCAAAATAATGGAAATTTCCAGAAATTAGAGCATCCAGCTGACAACACTCAGGGTAGAGCAAAATTGAAAAACAATTCTGAATCTCCCAGTGATGCTACAGACATTATTAAATATGCAACACTAGACAGGCACTTTACCAGGTCGAAACCAAACTCAGCATTGCCAACTAGAAGCCTGAGTATAGGTCATGGAGATAAAGATCAAAAGCCAGATAATAAACCTGTGATTGGGCTTCAGTCTAACGGAGATTACCTTCAACACTGTGCTGAAGAGAAGGAATCACAGGTTAGCAAAACAGAGAACAGCACAAACAACAGTGTAAATAAAAAGATGTCTTCATTTGCTTCTGCAGTGGCTCACATACGTCAATATAACGGAAATGTAGGCAACAGCCAAGCAAATATTGCACACATACGTCAACACAGTGAAGGTATCATGATAAAACCAGTGAATGCAGGATTCCATGCCAGACAGCATAGTTCAGATAGTAGTTACACAGATAACCGTTTGAAAGGAATGCCTTCTCAAAGTGCTGTTCATGTACAGCCAGTTGATGCTGATTGTCTAGGCATTTCAGACAGCAGTTCAAAATATAAAACTGTTGTGCCCCAACCAAACATGAAACCCTCATTGTCTTTCAGTCATCCACCTTTGCTGCATAATTCTACTGCCACAGAAGTCAGACAATACAGATATCAAGATTCGTTCAGACCTCAGTTGCATAGTTCAGCCACTTCTAACAAGTTCAGTGAAAATTTTCAGGTGGATAGGATTGGGTCTATCATCAGCAACAAAAAACAGGAGAGTTTTCATTCTGAGAATGTAAAGCTAGAAAAGTCTGGCTGTGATCAAAACATTACAGATGTGTCAACCAAGAATGCAGCAAAATTCAAAGAAACAAACAAAAAAGAAAAACTAGATGTATCAAGAGAGATTGAGACCACATCAAGGCAAGCAGACAGAGAATACAATCAGCTGCTCAGAACTGTGGAAATGCTGCAAGAAAGGATCAGATTACAAGAGGCCCAAATAAATTCTTCTGACTTGGGTATGTTATTTATTCTACATGTTTTCTAAATGTCATGATACAGTTCCAGTGTGGTGCTAAGATTTCATTTCAGTAGTTTGTATTATTAAGTTTTCTGTACTGAACAACTCATCCTGCATTCATAGACAATTCCTACATAAGTAAAGGCTTCTGACTTTGTTTTTTAGGACACTGTTGTTACAGTAACCGTATTCTGTCCTAACAGATTAGTTCCTTCAACCCCATCTGTTTTTGACACACTCATTAGGTGCTTTAACACAGAACTTTGAGGAATACAAATAGTGACACAGATTACTGACTGGTATTGAAAGAGTTAAAATGTGGGTGGAGGGCAGCATAGTCGAGATATTCCAGTGTTTACCTTTTACCTCGGAGCATATTGAGTCTTAAGGGCGAGAGGCATTTATACAGAAGCTTTTGATGTCTCCAATGATATAATAATTCTACTGGTATTTTAGGTAGTGAGATATGACACCCAGTAAGATATGACATCTAGTGAGATATGACACCTAGTGAGATATGACACCTAGTGAGATATGACACCTAGTGAGATATGACACCTAGTGAGATATGACACCTAGTGAGATATGACACCTAGTGAGATATGACACCTAGATTCTTGGGTAAAGGTGAAAACTGAAGTTCCTGAGTGCAAGTCAGCAGCAGAATTAGTCAAGATAAAACAAATCTTGCACTTATGCTTGCCAGTTAGGCACACTAATGTCTAAGGCACAGAAGTGTGACACACTCCCATGAGAAAAAATGATGCATGAGATCAGATAAAAAGATATTAAGAATCAGTATGAAGTGATGTAAATTTAGCAACAGTTTTTTTTTGAGAATATTCCAGATACTTTTCTCGTCCCTCAACTCTGCCATTCTTACTGCATTTTCATGAAGTGCACATAAAGTCTAACCCCATTTCTGTAAGAAAACAAAGACTCAATGAATGATGCAAAACTCAATTTTCTCTCTATTAAAGAGGACATTGAACATAATGAAGAATAGTATTTGAAAACATTTTTAAAAAAAAAAAGAAAATATGAAAAGGTGTAATATTGAGAACAAATCTGTGCAGCAGATTCAACATTAGAAAAGGTCAGCTAACACCCTTAAGCAAGGAGAATGCACTTTATTTTTTGGAATTCTTTATAAATCATCATTTATAATTGCATCTTTTCTATTATAATTAAGAAAACAAATGATAATGACAACTGAGGGCCCCCTTGGCAAAGTGGTTTCAAATTTCTCCACCACAGCTGCCATCATTTTACTTATTTATTCATTATCCTGTTGTGCCATTATATGTTTCCTAGTTGATTCATGTGAACTTGTTTTCCAATATTCTATATGGAATCTAGTCAGGTACTTTTAACCTTTCTTCATCAACATTCAGCATAAGGTTTCAGGAGGTTATCATTTCTGTTTTTAATTGCCTCATGCAAACAAAAGCTTTGACCTGCTTTAGGTGGCTTTTATTTCAGTGTCATGTTAAAAATTAGGTGGGTAATATATATTTGCCTACAGTCATTGCGTTTCTTTTCTTTACACTTATGTTTAAGCTGTTATACTTACATAGTAATTGAGTTACTAATTCTTTAGGATGATGTATTTTTATAACTAACAGAATTAACCTGCATACCTTTTGTTGTTTATTGATTTTCACCCAGTGTTGAGTCCTTTTCTATTTTTTTAAAATATTATCATATGAACAGTATGCTCACTGAAGGATAATACACTCTCACCTTACAGCGATCGATATTATCTTTAAAACTTGATATGCATATTCCCTCATGAACTATTGCTTATTTGTCCCAGTATAAGTTTGCTATTAATCATTGGTTATTGCCATTGATAGCAATTTCATCTGGGCATTTAAGTATCAAGGAGTGACAAGAAAAGATACAAGAAAAATTTAAGAACAAATAGAATGGTTTGGACATCTGATGAGAATATCCTGGTACCAACTGCCACAGAGAGCAGTACTGAAGACACAGAGCAAGGGGAAGATCACACACAAATGGAATGACAGCATCAAGAACAACATAAGAAATTTGAAGACTTACACAGTTCATTAGAAAAAAGCTTGCAGACCTTCATGAGGATCTCCCCTGAACTCTTCACTGGAGGAATAGAATAGTAACAATAACAAGAAGAATTTATTGATATTTTCTAGATAACACTATCCAACAACATTCTGTAATCTGTGAGACACAGACAAAGACTATTTAAAACCTATAATTATCTTTTCACTTTTGTTGTCCACTCCAGTTTTCTTTAGAAAAAACCCTCTTCTGAAACAACAGTTTATGAATTTTAAAATTTTTTTTATATGTACAGTCGTGTGTAGTATTTTCAGCTCTTTAAAATCTGAGCTACGGCTACCTCTTAAAGGAATGTTGATATGATGTATGTTACCTGTACTGTGTATATTGTTGCATAACTTCATGATTTTATCAGCTCCAAGGTCTTTGAGAGCTCACATATTTTTTCCTATCGATTTTTAATCAGTGCCAAAATAAATTATTTTGTTCCAGTGGAAATTCTTTTTTTTAAATGTTTTCTCTGTTTCCAACTTGAGATTACCAGGGCCATCATTGTTTGTGATTGAATTGGTTTTGTTTTCCTAATATTTCATCCTAAAGCAATTTTCTTCCACAATTCTCCATTTAATTTTACAATTCTCACAACGTACATCCTTCTTTACATGATCTTTTAATGATTCTATAAATAGGGTTTTCTTGATTTATAGCTTACTTTCTTTAACTCTTAGCAAATGGCAAGTATGATGACTACTTTAAAATCTTTGAAATCTATGTGTTTGCTTCTAAATCCCTGTTTTGCTTGCTTCTTGCACAAAGCTCGAATTTCTTTACTTGATTTATGCTGTGGAATATTTTTCATTCTTTTGTTTTCTGTCCATTTGGCTTAGATTTTCTTCAGCCATTTATGCTTGCTCTTTCAGATTAAAATTATATTTGTGACTGTATACTAGTTTTTAGACAATCCAGCTTGGCAACAATTTTTTACATCTGGGTTTTCTTGTTTGTACTTCTCTATGATCTATAAACTGTTTAAAAAGTTGGTCAACACAGCCTGGATAAAGTAACATTCTTTTTTTTTCCCCCTCATATTTCTAGAAATTGCTTCCCTTGAAGAGAAAGAAGTTAGAAACAAGGAAACGCTGCAAGCAATTTTGGAGGAGATCTCCAGTTGTGAAGTTCGTGGAGCAGTTGTTAAAGAAGAACTTGATAATTTGGAGAAGACAGAGTGGATAAGTGTCATTGAAAAGGAACAAGAACTAGATGCAAGTGTGAACAAACAAGTAAGTTATACATTTTTTATAATCATTTATGTTAACTATTTAAGTTGGAGACATTAAAATCCTATTCAATATAATTTTACACATAACTTTAAATTTCTCACATTACTGCCAAACTTTAATCGCAATGAGTAAATAACACTATTGACATATGAGACTTATTTCCTTGCTGACTTCTTCTTCACGTACACTCTGGTGGAAAATTCTGTTTGTTCATCCACTTCTGGACTGCAGTCCTGCTCTAGAACCTGAGTGTTGCATGTGAATCAATTTTACAGATCTGATCCACTTGAATGCCGACTGTTGGTTCCTTGCCTCTCAGGCAGATGCACTCCGACTTCAAAGGAAGCTCCCAATTAGTAGACTCTTACGACATGATTTTGGGTAGGCAGTGGGTCTAAGAACAAGATGGAAGGATAACATCAGAGAAACTCTACAACAGCACGATGTGCCTATGGTCGAGGCAGCCAGAAGAGCTAGAAACAGAACCTTATATCTCCCTCGACACCCACAGCGGTAAAAGAGGAAGGGAAGAAGAAGAAGAAGTTGGTCTATTCTTGTTTCCCCCACAATGGGGTCCCAGAACCCAAACAAGGAATTTCCTTGCAATGAAGTGAGAGAGGTAAATGACTGTTTGAGCACAGTCTTCATGAGATTGTAAAAAAAAAAAAAAGTTAAAATCAGGGCAATATAAAAGAAACAATACAATGCATGATACTCAGATACCTATCACATGGCACATTCAGAAAGAATATAATAGTAATACAAAACATTAATACAACAAGGAGCCAGCTAAAAACCTTAGCAGAACATACCAGAACACACATTCTTGACAACAGCACAGTTCACACTGTCATCTTTCTGGGTCAATGTCTATATGAGGGTTTAAGTGCTTATTATGTGTGCATTGTTTTGTATGTGTGTGTGTGTGTGAAATGTCATCCTCCTTAAGCAGGAAAATTAAAAGCTTTAAATGAAGCAGGGAGGGGGAGGGGAGGCAGACAGAGAGGCAGGCAGAGAGAGGGGCAGGCACAGAGAAAGAGAGAGGGGCAGACGGAGAGAGAGGCATGTCCATTGTTAGTTATAAAGTACTGATTAAAAGGTGGAACATGATTAAAAAATAAGAAAATGTAACATGACTTTTAGTTTATAGGGATGAAAAAGGGCAGACGAAGAAGGGAAAGAAGAATTGAAGGACTGAGTAGAAAAGTAGTAGTAGCAAAAAAATTGTGATCATCAGTGAATGTGTCAGTGGACATATGGTGTTAAGAATGAAGCCACATGATAGAATGGGAAGTTATAAGGAATACATTTATTGATGCAGGTGATTGCATTTTTCAGATTCAATTATCAAGTAACAGCGTAAATATAACATTTACTGAGATCAAAAAAATACTAAGACTAACCAGCGAGACACCAAAGTAAATCAGCCAACAGGTTTCCTGTTCAGCAGAAAAAGTAATATCAGTGAAATACTGCAACAGACAAAAATAACAAGTTTTCCTTACGTAACATTGAACAGCTTATGCAATAGCAGATGTGCTGAAGATGCTGCTAGCAGATTACAATGTGAAATTTAAATTTTCTGTTTCAGATAACAAGCTTGAAAGCTAAACTGAAACAGTTGGAGTCTGAGATAAAACAACAAAACGTTGAAGAAGATAAGAACTGTCAGGAAATTAAATCAGAAGAGGAAAGAGAAGCGCAGGAAAGGAAACAAAATGAAGAGGTATGTTTTGATATTTTGATTGTAGCATGCCTGCAGGAAAAAAAAAATAATAAAAAGTTTTATTAAGTTGGCCAGCCATAAATTTTCTGTGAGGGTGAGTTTTAAACTCTAAGACTGCCTAACTCTGCCCCATGTGGGCTCCGGGGGCCCTATTTTGGGGGGAAAACAAGAACGGCCTTCCCAACAAGCATACAAGCATGTTGTGGGAGTCAATAATAGGGAGCTTTCTTCAAAGTCAGAGTGCATTTACGTGAATGGCAAGGAACAACCAACTGCATATAAATAAGAGATTAGGTCCCGGTAGGTAATGTTTCCTCTGTAAATATTTTATTATCAGTGCACTTCAACCCATTGCCCTAAGGCAGATGGGAACCTTTTAAGGTTTTAGTTCTGGGTAAAATCTGGAAATGAATTTCTCAAGGTACATTTCAGATGCAGAAACGTTTTATTCACCTTATGCAAGAATATTGTTTTTTTTTTTTTATTTATAAAATGTAGTAACTATAGTTTTATATTTTATGTTGTCTAATATGTCCGCCTATCTCTACTACTTTCTTTGAGTACCAGTCAATGCATATTAATTTGTGTTAAATATAGTGGAGAAGATTTTGTTTCCTACTACATTTGCAGACTTGTTATTGTAACATCTCACTGTGTGAGCTTGGACAAGAAAATAATAATAAACGTAAACAAAATGCTCCAAGAAACAAATGAACATCAATAATTAATTAACTCAAATTATTTGCAGACAATCAAGATATTTTAGGTATATTATTTTGAAAACTTAGTAACAAGTCAAAAACTTGATTTAGAACAAATGAAAGGACATACAAAGAAATAAATACCTGTTTGTCATTTGACATAATTAACTCGTTGAGTCCCAGGGGGTTTAGCATCACAGGCCCAAGAGGTAACCAAGAAAGACGTAAAATCGGCGCATCTTGCGTTCATTGGGCTTCTAAGTGGGAATCTATGAGCGTATGATACGTTCCTTGGGACTCAAAGAGTTAAGCCTAGAGCACAAACTGACCTGATCTGAAACTGGTGTGCAGTGGCAAATCATGACCTCACTCACTGCATGACAAATAAATGTATTGATTATATAATATTAAACTGATGACCCTAGAGCATTGTAGTCAGTAACATAATAATTAATCTGGGGTCAGTGGATGAGTCTACCAACCATTATGTTCTTTTTCTCCCAAATTTGTCTTTTTAATAAATTGACAATTTTATTTTCTCATACAGGTAGAAGAACAGGTCACTTCAGAGAAAGATCAACTTGATGAACAGTTAAATAATGTCAATGAAATAATCAGTGAGAAAAATCAGCTCTTGGAACATTTAGAAAAAGAGATTCTTGAAGTAGACAAAGTGTTGAATCAGAAGGTAAACATTCCTTTTATCAGTTTTTACTTTCTTTTGTAAAATATAACATATAAGGTGTTTAAATGTGTTTTTTCCTAAATAATTAGTTAATATCTGTTGCTTTTACAGTCCATCTGTTATGTATGTATATCTGTTATGTATCTTTATCTGTTAAAAAGCAGTCTATCTGTTCTGAGCAGTGTATCTGTTATATAGTAGTATATATGTTACGTAGCAGCATATCTGTTATATATAAACATACACCCATTATAAAAGTTAAAGTCAGGACTTATCTCATCAGTTCAGATATTCCAGAAGCACTTTTCTGTGTTTGAAACATTCATCCTAGGCTACTGCTGCATACGTAAAGACACAGGTAGACTGAAAGGATACTTAGTTAAGTGCATGGTGCGACACTGTGAGCTACGGATTTCATTTGGAATGTGTTTTTTTTACTGTGACCAACATGGTGTTGTGAACTGTAGATTCAGAAAATGGTGGTGCCCTTATGTGATTAATATTGATCGTGTGCGCAACTGCTGATCTGTTGGCGACTTCTGGTACCGTCGTTGATGAACTGCATTTCTAATGTCAAACTGTTTGTGTTAGCACTTCTGATGGCTACCGTATGCTTTTAATGTGTGTGTATGCTAGTGCATATGCTGAGACAGCAGTCTGTCAATCTTTCCACAAGGGACTGCGATGAACATTCCGTGTTTTTTTCGTTGGCACAGGAACGGAGCAACTATGCGGTGACTCGTTTGCTATGAAGGTGAAGCTAAGATTAGCAAGATTACCATGATTATGTAAAGACACAGTTTTTGCTAGCTAAACATAATGCTGTGGGGAGGGGGGTTACTTATTATCCTCTGACTGGAAGGTATAACAATTTTGCCAGATCATATATGAATGGTGCTTGTTAAAACGACATGCTTTGCTTCACCAATGTTGTATATGATGCTATCAAAACTCAGTAGGCTATGTGATGGAATCCCATTGACTGCCCTTAGACATTTCTGATACCCATTTTATCCGGAGTTGACCCGAGTACTCTGGGTTAGTTATAAACACCCACCTGTGTAAATTTAAATCCATGACCTTTGGATCAGCAGGAAATCCCTAATTTTCCAAATAATTATGACAGTTTTCTAAAGCTTATAAAGATAGTCATGTTAGTAAAAGTAATTTATCCTTTCACTTTCTGAATGCTTCAGAGTATTTTTGGTTTTATTAACTCTTTTCCCGAAAAATTTATAATAAGATTTGAATCTTATTTTGCACTTAATTCATGCACCCTCTCTTTATTTATAGTGTTAAGATTTGCAGAATATAGGAGTTATCTTTCTTAACTGCATGTAATATTTTAATAGTAAACATACTGTTGTTTTCAATGACTACTACTACTATTGCTGCAGTAAAGATTTTGCCATTTGCTCATCTTTATCTCTGAAGTTTGGAAAGCATGTAAAGAATTAAAAATCTCACCCACCAGGAAAATGAAGTGAAGCACATTGAAGAAGAGTTAAAAACTGAAGCCGACAATACTAACCTCCCAGGCTGAAGTGCCTTCAGTGTTTCCAGCCAGGATAAGCAGAGGAACATTCCCAGTCTCTGACAGTGGAGAAGGTGAGCTAGCTATTGTACATGTTTCAGTAAAAGTGTCTTTAATGTCAGTATTTACTGCTTCATTTTTCAGGGTGTTGTCTAGAGCTAATGGAGGCATAATGAACTGTGCAGATGAGGATAGTCCCCTGCAGACTAATTGTCCATCACTTTATAGTGGACTTGTGCTGAGGTTTCCTAAAAGAGGACACAGTATTTGAGTCGCTGAGCCAGCTGTTCTCCTGTCACGCTTTGAATATCTTATAGAACTGAGCTTCCATGTCAGCTCATTTTCTTTCATTAAAGAAAAAAAATTTGTTGCATATCCTTTACATGACTGATGTGATTTTTCTAGGCAATTTACTTTCAGTAGTTTGCCATTGCTTCTGAATGGTCAGCTCTTGATACCACAGTTGAAACCAATACAAGCCAGTCTGCTGCCAAATCGCATGCAGCTGGGATTGAACCAGGTGCCCCGACATTATAAAGTTCATTCACAATACCTAAGACACAGATGCTGACTTTCATTAGTTTCTGCAATGTATCAAATATATTTAAAGTCAGAAAAAGACCCTTTTCCACACTTTAAGGTGTACTGAGCATATGGACCTAGAGCTATATTTTATAGACCAATTGGCACACCATAGGCAATAAGGTCAATATTATGCTGGCTGCCAAATATCTAGTAACTGAAAAGACAAAAACTATATATCCCATTATAACCCAGATGGGTTTTAAAATGATATCTATGAAAATGTCTGCTAATACATATTCAGACCTTTGGACTAATTAATTTATATTTTTAAAAAAGGGGGGGGGGGGGGGTTAAATATGTGTAATGTTTCATGTTATAACCCAATGACAGGTTTAAATGAAATAGCTTCATCTGTCATTTCCTAATATTTAAACAGTATCCTTCTCCTTCTCCTTCTCCCCCTCCTCCTTCTTCTTCTACAATGACCCTTAAAAAACACTATGGCTGTGTTTTTATTTACAGCTTAGCTGCAAAATTCTACCTTTGCAGTTTAGACATTCAGACAACTCTATAGATTCCTGTGTTTAATTTACTACTGAAAGATTTATACTTTTTTAGTAAGTAATGGACCCTTGGCACACCATTTTGGCATCAGGCTTATGATGCCAGACCTATTTGTTTTGGACCAATCAGCACTTGATATGTGGTCAACATTGAGAAAGCTGTCTATACGTTCAAGGACGTATCCTAGAAGGCATTTTTACTGGTTTGATTTGCGAGCCTAGGTCGGTTATTACAAATAATGTCTCAGTGCTAATTCAAACCTTTAAACCTTAAAACTGACAGGTCTAGCTACTGGGTTACTGCATCTCCTGAGTCTGAAATATTTCCATGGAAATAAACATGGTTGATATAATGTTGACCATCTAACTCTCATAGAGAACTGATTTGGCTATACACATTTTTATCTAGCTCCATATGCCCAATTGGCCATTGTTGCACAAAAAATTCCTAAAGTTTACTGACTCCACCAAACTTCACTTGTTACTATTTGATTTTTTTTTTTTTTCCAATAATTAGAGACACAGTTAAAACTCATCCTGTGATCATTATGATAATTGTTCCCAGATGTGTCAACTATACCACAACTCAGTTTACTGTTTCATTTGCCTTTCAAAGATTTACTTAAAACTTATTATTTTTTTTATTTTTTTTTAAAACAATTTATTGTTTTATTATTGTGGAATCATTATAAAAACTCTTTATTTTTTTCTTTCCAAAGCAATTTTGAAGATTCTGGAATGCCAGCTGTCTGCACAGTCACCACCAACCTCGCCATTTGTTGATGAAGTTGACAACTTAGGAGGTATTACATCGGCTCAGCATTTGTACACCTTGGGCAGTGTGAAAACTCATAATGGAATTTGGGTCTAGTTACAACATTGCTAATTTACCCTTGGTATTTACGTACTGGGGAGTCACCGTGGCCGAGCGGCTAGACACTCGCCGCGGATCGGAAGGTTGTGGGTTCGCTCTCTGGCGGAGCCGGATTTTTTTCAAAAATGACCTTGGCTCTCAGGTCGACCCAGCCTTGAGTGGGTACCGGGTGCAGTCCCGGGAAAGTGAAGGCGCCCGACGTGATACTGACCACATCACCCATCGTGTGCCGATTGGTCTATAAAAATATAGGTCTAGCCCTATATGCCCTATATGCCTTAAGGCGTGGAAAAGGGTCCTTCTTCACTTCACTCATTTACGTACTGTGTTAAAAGCATGGGCAGACTGACTTGTACTTTTGCCATATCAGACGTCATGGCGGCCTAGAGAAAACTGGGATTGAGAGTAATTTCCAGAAAAGTGAGGCAGAAGAAGAGCTCCCTGAAGGATACAAGACATTGAAGACACACTGGTTATGAAAGCCCATAGGGCTGTAGAATTGGCTAGAGAAAGAGAGACTTTCAGATGTGCCATGACGAGAGTGGCATTGCTGTAAACACCTTCTGTTTGATGATGATTTCAAGTGCAGCTCCCAGTTTCAGGAAAATGTCTCAAGCTCAAGTAAAATTTCACTGCTTCTTAAAAAAAGTCAGTTGCAAATTATTTTTTTTTTCCACACAACTTCAAACCAACTCCAGCATTTATCAACTGTTGTATAGTTTGTGTGAAGGTATTTTACATTTCAGTAATTTATCATTGCATTCTAAATGATATGGAGCTTATACCATTACCAAATTTAGAGCAAATCTGTCAGCTACTAAACTGTCTTCAGCTGACTTGAACCTTGGTGTATCAGGAGTCTGAAACTAGTTGTTGCAATCACTAAGCCACAGTCAACAACTTAAAATAAGACAGAATGTGAACAATATTTATCCAAAGAAATGAAAACAAGCATATTTAAAAAAAAAAAAAGATTTAAAAAAGGGGAGAGGGGGTCCAAATGGAGCAATGTCTATTAGCCTCTCTTGCTCAAGCCTACCTCACCTTCATGTGGTGGACCCTGTTCTTCCCAGCAATCCAGTTGAAGGTTGGGGTTTCAGCCCCCAGTGGGAAACTGGATGGGACAACAAATGAGGTAAAGGCAAAAGACGAAGGGATGAGCCTAGTCTCCTTGAGTATGACCACAGTCTACCCTTGCAAAACAAGGTGCTGAAGTCAGAGGCAACCAGCCAGGAGGCGCACCACAGCAATCAGGATGCCACGCACACATGCCATGGAAATATGTCTAAATCAGCAAAACGAAATGGTGCTCGCCCTGTGATGGGGTGGTATCAATATTGATGTTAATTTAGTAAAGATCGTCAATTGTACATACAAGGAGTAGGTACATCTTTCCAGTTTTCATGTGTACCAGGTTTTCTCTTCTCATAACATAGCAAATGAAAATGAAGACTACATTTTCCTGATGATTGTCATAAGTTGTCTTCTCTTAGTCTCAAATCAAAAAATTGTGTGACTGCCCATATATAATTACATATATGTAGGTAGTTTTGTATAAAGACATAAAGTTATCATCAGTATAGCTGCAAATATACAAATAACTTATAACTGAGGCTGCACACATATAGCTATCTTAATGTGAACCTGGGTGAAACTAGGGGGTCTGGCCGGCTCACTACACTCAAGGAAAAGGCAAGACGCACATACAAGGTCCAACAATTAAGTAATGAGATTAATTCCATAAAAATTAAAATAATCAACAGCTGAAGATATAACCTGTATCTGATTCAGTGTATTGATACAGCAAGTGGCACTATCTAACAAACACTGGAACAACCTCTGTAGTTCTTCTGTTGTTATGGCCCCTAAAGTCGATGTTACAGCCCTTTGGATATCATCAATATCGTTAAAGAAGCATCCTTTCAAACATAACTTTAATTTTGGAATAGAAAATAATCACAGAGAGACAAATCTGGGGAATAGGGTGGAAGGCTGAGAACACACGTGTTTTGGGGCCAAAAATTCTTGTTTTGATGTCCCTTGGGTACTCAACCCGCTGATGGTTTTGGTCATCAGACAACGAATGTGATACAAACCGGCAAGCTATTTTTTTTTGCCAAAATCTTGCACTAAAATGTTATGAATGGTCTCTCTATTAACACCAGATTCATCTGCCATCATCCTTACAGTGAAACAATGATCTTCTTGTATCCATTCTCTGACTTTTGCAATGGGTTTATCATTACAAACATAAATTTGGCGTCCAGGTCTAGGTGAATTAGTAATCATTTCCACACCACTTTTGAATCGTGAATGCCACCTAAAAATTTGTTCACTAGACAAAAAATGATCCCCATAAACTTGTTGCATCAATTCAACTGTTTCAGTGGCACTTTTTCTGAGTTTTAAAAAGAATTTAATGTTAGCTTTTTCTCCGTGCTGTTTATGTAACAATGCACCTTTGACTAGGTCAACAAAGTGGTGACTTGTTTGTTGATGTTGATAAAAAGTTGCCAAATAATAGATGAATGTTGCCTCTTTAGATTCTATGCTTTGCTTCAAAGATGGCATTTTTGTCTTGGCCATAATAAAATCAGTCTCATTACTTAATTGTCAGACCTTGTATAACCAGATTACGAACGGTACCATTAGTATTGGAACTCTGCGCTGGCTGCTGAAGATGAGGACTGAGCACACATGGGTTGCCAAGAGTGCTGTGATGTCAGTTCTTAACTCAGCTCTTTATGTGATTCCAAAAATACTGAGTTACCTCAATGTATGTGGGATTGCACATATACCGACAGGGACCTGTTTATGGGTATTGTACACATACAGCTACGAATATGTAGATGGCTGCACATATAAATATAGATAAACATCCATGTTTCTACACATGAACAGGTAAAAAGGTATATATTTGTGGTTGCATATATAAGGAATTTACTTGCTGTAAGGGAAAAAATAAAAATGTTATATAGAGAGCTATGTTCTTTGTTATACAAATATTTGTTACAGTACAGTGTTGAAATATATTGTTGCAAATATAT